CGGACCCGAATTCGAGGGCGCGATCGTCGCGCTCTTCCATCTTCTCTTTACATGGAACGACAAAGGTCGCGCCCTCCGCGAGGCTTTCTGGCGCGACCGTCTCCCCAACGTCATGAACCTCATTGCCACCGCTGTCATCTTCGGCGTGGTCATCTACCTCCAGGGCTTCCGCATCGAAATCCCCGTCAAGAGCAACAGGTTCCGCGGACAGCGGGGCTCGTACCCCATCAAGCTCTTCTACACCTCCAACATGCCCATCATGCTCGAGTCTGCCCTAACCTCCAACGTGTTCATCCTGTCGCAAATGCTCGCGTCGCGCTACCCGACCAACTTTCTCGTCAAGCTCCTCGGTGTTTGGGAGGTAATTCCTTTTCCCCCCATTCTCAACGCCATCTTCTCACAATGCGTACAGCCGATGGAGGACTCGCAGCAGCTCGTCGCCACGTCCGGAATCGCGTACTACATGTCCCCGCCGCACACCATGAAAGAGGCCATCGTCGACCCCATCCACACCGCGATTTACATCACCTTCATGCTCTCCTGCCTGCGCCCTCTTTTCGAAAACCTGGATCGAAGTCTCTGGCTCTGGGCCGCGGGATATTGCCAAGCAGCTCAAGGATCAGCAGATGGTATGTGCGTCCGCGTATGCTATTCTCATTCTAAGACGTTACTCGAGGTCATGGCCGGCCATCGCGAGGGCTCGATGTACAAGGAACTTAAGCGCGTTATCCCCACCGCTGCGGCGCTGGGTGGTGCCATCCTCGGTCTCTTGTCCGTCGCGGCGGACCTCATGGGCGCCATCGGCAGTGGTACCGGTATCCTCATGGCCGTTACCACCATCTACAGCTGTGTGTACCCTCTCCTTCTTCCCCATCTATTTCTTACCCTATTCTCTCAACAGACTGGGAAATCGGCATGCGGGAGTCCGGTGGTCCCGAAATGGCTGCGTTTGGCGATCTCCTGTGAGTGGAAACTGTTCGCGCGGGAGAGCACGTCGCATGCAGCACGGGGAAAACGCAGGCTTGCACGAAAGCGTATAAATATAAGCAGCCTAGCCTGAGGTCTCTCTTTTTTTATGTCCGCTTTCAAGTGTAGTAAAAGTGTTTTTAAAATAATGCTACTTCAAGTAATTGCGGCTTCTCTTATATAGCCGGCTAGCGCATGCCGGCTCTTGAATTCTCACTCTCATACATCGTTGGAACCTCGGTCTGGCGAGAAGATCTTGCTGCTGTGACTCTAGCCAATCCATCGATACCGACCACTTCTTGAATTTTGGCGCAACCCTTACACACGGACAACGCTGACCGACGACGAAAAGACGGAAGATGACGACGAACAGCAAGCCCTTTGACCCGAATACTGCGCAGAATCTCATGGAGGTATGTTCTGCGTCTTCGTAGCGTCTTCGTCGTCAAATGCCGACGGCTACTCGTTCGTAGATTGAGAAACAGTGTGTCTCCCTGTCCCTTCCCTTAGACCCGTGGACTGACGACGAGATGTCCTACGTAGGTTCGCGGTCAAAGCCGTCGAGCAGGCTCAGGTGCGTGGGTGTTCCCAATTCCTTAGCTTTACGCTGAAGCTGATCACAGACGTACTGGAACCTCATCGAGAAGGTGCCGCCGCGCGAGCTGAAGTTGACCAAGTTTGTGCTCTTTTCTCCCCGCTCCTCTCGCCATCTACACTGACACCCAACCCTCCTCAGAATCGACGACGAGATCTACACTCATACCCTCGCCACCTTCCCCGAGCTCGCGGAGGACGACCACGCCAAGCTGCGCACTCTAGACGAGGAGGGGATGAAGAGTGCAGAGGGGAAGGAGCGGTGGAGGTTGTTCATTGAATCGTACGTGAACTTCTTGTTGCGATTTGGGTTCGTTTCCATGCGCCGCAGGCTCCAGGGCAGGGGAGAGGAGTGCGCTTCTCACGTCGCGACACAGACATGCATACTACTACGTTCTTCCAACAGCGAGCCGCGACCGACGCCGAGAAGCGGGCAGCTTTGCTTCTACACCAACGCCTGACGCCGTTGGCGCGTGCGTTGAGTCGACGTCGCGGGACGCGTCGACAAGCCCTCTTCTATCTTTAATTTGTTGGTATATCTCGCGCTTGACGCACTCATGCGGCGGTGGACGAGGGGTCGATACGTCCACGTCCCTTCCTACTTGACCTAAAACGCGCTTGGTCTCTTGCTTCATTAGTACAAGTGAGCTAACGCGACACCTTTGCATAGGTACAAAAAAAAAGTCAAGGACTACAACTTTGGCTCCCTCATCCGGACGGACGCGAGCCAGGAATATGGGGAGCGGAATACGATTTTTGGTGCGTCGGTTTCCTCCCCGTGGTACTTGGCTTCCTTTTGTCGCGTTCCTTTGGCGCGCTTTGGGGGGCGCGCGGCGCGCGGTTCGCTCGGTGCATCCATTTAGTGCGACAACGGTCTCCCTACCGTCGTCCTGATTCCTCAAGTCGACCCAGAGTCTCAGAATCACTCCTATGAGCAGCCTGGCGCGGCCCGTTCACTACTTCTGTACTCTGTCTGTGCTTCCCGACCGCTTACTGACAACCTCTTAAATTCTGCAGTAACGCGAATACAGGTACGTATACCCGTTGAGCTGTGTCACGGTAGCCTGACGAACCCGGTGTTCCCTCTTCCTCTCCTTCGCCTACAATCCAATCCCCAATTAATTCAACGACTGCTTCCATTTGAACTGCACGACTGGGCGCCATTCGCAGTTTTACGCAATCGAGGTGAGTACATCGAGCACCGGGTTGCGCTTTCCCCTCGCCCGACCGCGCGCCCACTTCGCGTCTCGTGACTGTCCTGTACCGGATAGCCTCCCGCGCCAGCCCTCTTTACATCCCCCGTCTTTCCGTTTTTTCAAAAAAGCATTGACGCCCTAACATCCACCCTACAGATCGCGCGTAACAGACTCGGGCTCAATGACGCCGCGCACGAGCTTGCGAAGGCGGAGGCGGCGAAGGAGAAGGCGCAGAAGGAGAAGGAGGAGGCGAAAGAGAAGAAGAAGGGAAAGAAGTAGTTCAGCGCTCGGCGCGTACTTAACCCCTCTAACCCTGTTGCTCGACCGAAAAGGGGAGGGGGGGGATTGGAGGGTGCGTATAATTTTTTCTGTGGGGAGAAGGCTGCTCAAAAGCTGATCATTCTTGTTTATGTAGGTGTGGTGTAAGATTTTTATTGCTCGAGTTATTGGTTGGTAGGAACAAGGAGAGGATTTCTAATAAAATGACTTTCTCCGCAATTGAGAGTGCGCGGTCCCATCTCCTCCGGCGACTCCTCGTATTTCTTGAGGTGCTCATAGTTAAAGACCGGTAGCCAGGATAGCGACTGCTCATCCTTAAACTTTTGGATTTATCTTCTGTGGGATTTCGAACGGCCCAATCCACCGCTGCACAAACTTGCTGCCTTCGCCTTCGGACTCAACTCCATCGAGTGCGGGTTGATCAGGACGCGATCACCCTTCTTGAACTCGGCGATCGCTTTATTAAAATGCTTCGCCTGGGAGTCCTGAGCCGCCGCGATTGCTCTCCTCACGCTGTCGCGGCGCATTTCTAACTTCTTGAGGAACGAGTCTGCTTCGGGCAGCAGTGAATATGAAGAGGCGTTGACCATGTTCTCCTTGGCGAAGAGATCGAGCGGGGTTACCGGATTGAATCCATGCAGAAGAAAAGCCGGAGCGCAGTACGCCAATTCCAAAGTAGCCATTCAGACCAAGAGGACTTGTTGTCCCCCACGTATGCTCAAAGCATGGTTTCCAGTTGGCAATTACTAAGAATCTCTGTCTGCCCGTCATGCTTTCTTTGGGTGAGAAACATCTTTATCTTGATGAACTTCACCGCCGCCTTCCAAAAGTCCGCCGTCCACCTCGAGTCGCGGTCGCAGATGATACTAGTGCTGAGTCCGAACCAACAAACCGCGTGCTTGACGTAGAGCTCTGTGAAGCCCTCCGAATGCAAACCTGTGGTGCAAGAAATGAACAGCCTCAGGCCTGAGGGTGTATTTGAGCAGCCTGCGAGCGACCACGTAGATAGCATTGTAGCCATTTGACCAAGGGAGGTTAACTATAAAATATGGATATAGACTTGAACAGTCTCGTTGGACTTAACTTGCCGTAATGGTTAAAGTTACTTGGCTTGGTCTTCTGGCAAACATCGCAGGAATTATAGAACTTGAGCGATCTCCACCTTCATCTCATCTGGCCTTACCTTGTCCTCACGTGCATTCACAGGCCATTCTGGTCAACACCGGAACCTCTATACCTGTCACCCAGCACCGGTCAGTCCCCCATCCAAATCCTTTCAGGTTCAATTCTGCCCTTATAAGGTATACGCCATCCATCCTCGACGAACGTCACGTGCACTTTCCTTTTTTGGAGGAGCCGACAAAAACATTTAATTCTGAAATGGCGGAGGTAGTTATGGACAATCCCCTCGAGTAAATCCTAGATATTTGTGTTAGGCAGTTGTAGAAAAATATTTGGACCCCTCCGGTGGTTATTGCAGGAGGAGATACAAAATTTAGTTGGCCATGTCTCAGCCTTGTCCGGTGCCATCACTCCCATCAAGTTTGATCTGAACGAACGGTGCGGACGAAATCTATATCTCCTCCGCCAAAACGGGTTGGTGTGCACCACGGAATTTTGTAGAGCTACTTTACACCAATACACAGGATTTGCTCGAGGGGATTTCACATAAGTAGATCTGTTGTTTCAATATTAAATGGTTTTGTTGGCTGTTCCAAAAAAGGAAAGTCCACGTGACGTTCGTCGAGGATGGATGGCGTATACCTTACTTGGTACTCACTCAGCCCCGCGATACAAGGTCCGAAGCTGCTTGCATAACTTGAGCCTCTGGGTACTGATTATGACATCAGTTCAGCTTAGCTTACTTCGCCTCGTCTTTACCTCAGATATGCTGCAGTACAAGAATCTAGCGCTTGTAAACAAAGGAAAAACAAATGAGAGTTAATTCAAACTACATGTAAAAAGTGAGCACGGCAGGACTCGAACCTGCAGCCTTTTGGTCTGGATTACGTAATTAAGCATCGAAGCCAAACACGCTAGCCATTGCGCCACGCACCCATAAGAATTACCTTATACAAACCAGATGACGGGACAATATTATTTTATTTTAAAGATTCCATATTCTTCATTTCACTTTTCTCAATCCATTTAGGTATTAGCTCACTTAGAGTTCCCCAGATAGAGGTAAACCTGCAAAGGTAGGTAAGGTAGGCACCATCTACCCTTGGCAAACATCATGTGGAATTTCCTTATCTGGCACAGTGAGAGAATGTTAGGTTCGTGCATTTGCTTACTCGGTCGGCCAAAACAGGAACTTTCCGAGACATAGGGAAGTCCTCAGGTCATCTTCCCAAGGTTGGGTTCAACACAATGAAGGGTTACTACCGCTCAAACACTGCCCAGCGAAGAGTGACCACCGACTGGTCACAGTATAACTTACGTGCTGGCCAGACGAGCGTCCCGGGAAAGGCAGATGAAGCTTGCCTCTATACCTTTTAAAATCCACAAAATTCATGAACCAAGCCCAGGTTTCAGCGGCAAAGCTCCTGGCAGATCTTGAGGAACTAGACCATTCAGAACGTTCTATTCAAACTCTGTGGGAACAATTCAAATCGGATGTTGCTACGTATGGGAAACACTGTTCACCCTTCATCACAAGTGAATCAACTCAACAAATTCGGGCCTGGAAGACACAGTTAACAATTGTCCTCAAGGACAATGATATGCCGATTGAGGACAAATCACAGGTGATCTACATGTTAGAAGATAAAATCCGGAAGTGCCTGGAAGAAGAGGCCAAGACCAAGAAAACTATGGCCGAGGTTCGCTATGATGTGGAAGGTGAAACACTGCGGACAAAATTGTAGACAAGGACTGCCAAAGGCTATCATCAGAAACACTCTATAAACAAGCTCAAGACAAATCCTGACATGAATGAACCCTTCCTGAGGTACAAAACCTCGCCGAAACAAATAGCGAGGATGGTCAGAGATTATCACAACTCGACCCAAATGAAAGATCACACTGGGGGCAAACACCGTGGAAGGTGGCACACTGTGAGCTGTCACTTTGTGATGCACTCCGAACGCAGCCAAACGGGAGGAAAAAGCCACTTCCGAATGAAAAAGACTCACACCATTCCACAAGGCCAGACCCTGAATCGAACAGAGACCTTGCGAGTAAACATTGCAGGCGCTATTCATCTCATATGTGTTACCACTCCGCCACCTGGCCGTGATACAAAAACAATATGGACCTGAATTAAAAAGTCACTAGATTAAACAGACGGCCAGACTCCAAATCAATGGAGACCTTGCGAGGAAACACTGTAGTGTCTGTATTCGTCTCACATGCGTTACCATTCCGCCACCTGGCCGTGATTAGGACGGAGAGCCTCGACAAACAGACAAAAGAACGAGACGGACCTGAATTAAAAAGTCACTGGATTAAATAAACAGCCAGACTCTGAATCGAACGAAGAACTCGCAGGTAGATATTGTTGAGCGGGAACTCATCCTGCGTGCGTTGCCACTACGCCACCTGGTCGTGATTATGCACGAAGAGCTTTGACAAACGGACAAAAACGATACAGACTTGGATGAAAATAAAAACCCGACTTTCGCGCCCAAGGCCAGACTCTGAATCGAACAAAGACCTTGCCAAGGGACATTATTAGGTACTGTATCCGTCTCGCATGCGTGACCACTGTTATGAGCCGTGTCGCAGGAACGGGGCAGAGGGACAGTCGGCCGGACGAGCGGGAAGTACTCCGAAGTCACCGGCGGTTCGGAGCGGTCTCCAAGATACCAGAGTCAGAAAAGAGGACCGGCGGAGCTGATTGACACAACACCACTGAGGCGCAAGGTGAGCGTATACTGCCAGGAATTGTCGAGACAAGAGGGACAGAGTCAAGAGGAGTCAGGGAGATGAGCAGAGCGACAGACACCACTTCGGAAGGAGGGAAGTAATGTTTATTAAACTACTGAAGAACAGGAAGTAAACTAGGAAGATTAAATAGTGTAGAGTCTTAATATAATGTAAAGGAGATAAGGAGGAAGCATGTGGAGGTACATGTGGAAGAAACAATAGGATGTCCGAAAGCGGAATGAGAAGTCGGATGAAATCAGGATTGCTTCGGATAATCAATATGAGGTGATAAGCATAAGCTTCGAAGCTTGAGAAAGAAGGAGATGCATGTAGAGTGAATGTTACCACCGATACTGAAGTCTTATGACTATGGATGTCATGCCGAACGAGTCTCCGATGTTCCGGTCTCCAGAGTTCTGATAGTCTCCGAACTCTGGAGTCGGCCGGAGTGGAGCAACATGTACCGGAGTGTTATAGACGTGGATTGGAAGCTTGGCACAGGGATATAACACCAATGCAATACATTGAGTCAATGGTATCACTGAAGTCTTGAATATCAGAGTAGACTCTTTGCGGTGGTAGGTAGCATCATATTCGGTTGATTGTTTAAAAAGTGTTGAACATCCTCTCCAAAGCTGTGGTGAACAGACAAACCAGGTTTGGGTGAAGAGTACAAGCCTAAGACATTCATCTTTTTAAAATCTTCTCTCAGCACTATATACACCATTGCATCCTTGATTGTTTTGAAGTGGCAGAACTTGTGATACTGCAAATCATGCACTTGATCTTCCACATATAAACCAGCTCTGGTGGTTCAGGAAATATCTTTGTTCTTGAAGAGGGACACATAATAATTTTGAACATATATTGCACCCTGAGTCTGTCTTTAGCAAATGCTTCAGAAATTTCATCAGTGTGATGATAGTTGAGTTGTTCTAGAATTTGTTGGAGTTTCTGTACAGTCCTAGCTTTAGAGTCACTTATGCATTTAATCACAGTCGGCATGAGTGGAGGTCTGTGAATTTGACTCAGAAATGGCCTGACAATTGATCTCTGGTCAAATCCCTTGTTTGGTGCACACAATCACTTACAGTAAGTGGAGAACTGCTGAATTACAGCCACGAAGAACAGTGCAGAATCCCTCCATGGTGTGGTGATAAGAGCTGGAAAGGAGAGACAGATATAGATGGCCACTTTTGAGAGGAAGGGGTTGATTAGTCTAATGATCTTGTGCCGGCATAGCCCTTCCCACCCAATCTTGACAGATATTGTCCACCCTTGCTCGCTTTCGCCGCACTTGCTCGCTTCATCCCCCGTTCCTTGTTGTCGACTCATCGCGGACCATGCCCGGTCCCTCGCATGCGACCAAAAAGCCGAAATCAACAATATACGGTCCAGACGCTGTGACCCGTCAATATCCCCTGTGGCGGGAAGTTCTGGCAGCTGCTTTTCCTTCCGCCTGAGTTCTTGGTACTACAGCACAGACAACAATTCAATGCCTCTGCACCGACTTCTTTTGTGTTCGCCGTGGTCCTTCTTGCGTTTCAGGTCTCTAGGGGACTACGGGCATTTGAAAACTGCCGGCTTTCAACTTTCTGCCCATCCCTTGCTGCAATGGCGATTCGTCTGGCAGACTTGTTAAATCCCGTTGATTTGGCTGGTCAGCGCGTCCAGGCTTCTATGCAGGCTGGTCTTGTAGACATTCAACCACAGCTGTTACGCCTTTCTAGCTTCAACCGAGAGGGTGTGCATGCCACCCTCGCTATCCAAGAACAGCTTCTCAACGCTATTGAATACCTTGAGTCTCAGCAATGCCTGGCTCATATTCCTGTCCCCGCTCTGCCCCCTCCCCCTCCCGTTCTGATTCGAATGCCTCTCGAGGACGTTGTTGCAGAGGTCGATGTTTGCCTGACCAGAAAAACAACCCTTTCCAAACTTTATCGCTATCCTCCCAATACAGTTCTCGAGTATCCCGAGACAAGCCTCTCCAAGCCTACTGGGCATCCCTTCCATCTGGATCCTGAAGAGTGGCTCGTGCCGGACCTCAATATTGCGTATTCCAGAGGCGAACCAATGGGGTGAACTCTATCGGGGAAGGAGGTCTTTTTTGATGTCATGGTGAATGGTAATGGGGAGAAGGTGCCTTGTTCAGAGAGCCACAGTACTTGTTCGTTGTACACTTACCATGCCCCTTGAATATATATCTAAAATGACTCCTTAGGCCAAGGCGTGAAAGTTTGCCCGCAGAGCGATAAAGATAATCTCGCCATGTCCCATACGTCGGCATCCAGGGCGAATATTCAGACACGGCTAAGACAGGATCGTGAAGACCGTCTTCAGTACGCATCTCCTAGTAAAGACATTTTCTGTCGTACTGCCGCATACTTGTCGGCTGTCCAGAAACTCGGCTGTTCTCGCCCTTTGGTGGAAGAGACCCTGTTTTCTGAGAGCGAGGAAGAGCAGAAAAAAGTGTCCGAAATATACAGGGAGCAAGTAAGTCGGGGTCATCGTCCTCGGCAGGGAGTCTGTGAGGGGAGAATTATTTTTCAATACGATAACCACGGGCGGCTCTGCGTAAGGTAATTATTTTCTGCCCTGGCCGAGTAACGGCTCTTCTAATAGTTTCATGCAGCTGCGAGCACTATGACCACCTTACAAGCAGAGACCACTTTTATGACGATCACATCGGTGCTGCCACCGGGACGTACGATTTAGCCTACATCAAGGCGGTCTTAACAGGCAATGAAGAAGAGGTGACTTGCATTGAAGAAGCGGCTTTTTCTCTGGGATACGGTCCCCGAGTGGAGTGTACAACAGTCACCAATGTGTCTTCTCAGAGAGCCATTTGCTGTAGGTCTCCGTTCGTTGGCTGCAGAAATAGAAATAGATCATCGCCCTTTAGCCCACGACCACCGGGATGAGAATGGCCATCTTAACCAGCCTCTCCTGGAGCGCCTAGAGTGCTGTGTGAAATTTCGTGTTATCAAACCTCTTGAGGAATATTGGGCCGCTTGTCCTTATGTTTTGATTACTTCTCTGGGCCATCACACACATCCCATCCCCCTACCGACAAAAACTCCTCCAGCTATCCGATCCCGAATATTCCAGCTCTTGGAGGAACTAGGAGACGACATACCGGACATAACCCCAAGACGCTTTCTGCGACATCCCATTCTCAAGGCATTTCTGGCAACCGAATTTCGTCATACTCCCCAACCTGCTCTCAGCCATCTGCATATATCTTTGGCCAACCGCTCGCGTATCAAAGCCTACATCAAGCAGATAAAAGAGATTCATTGTCCGGAGGGTACTGGCTGGGAAGGTGAGCTTCGGTTGTTCGGCGATGGAACCTACATTGATTGTCGAGGAAGCTATCACACATCTCAAAGGTCTCCAAGACACCAATCTTCCCGCTTGCGACCATTATATTCGGTGAATGATTGTTTTGGACAACCATTCCGTAGCACACCACGAAGAAGACGACGACGACACACCTCTGAAAGATAACCAACTCCGGATTATAGTCTGCATGTCACCCAATGCTAGTCGCCGGCTTCTGGAACGCAGCAGTTATCTACAAAGCGATATAGCTTTTAAACGTATTGTAGACTTCTTGGAACTCGAAATGGCCTGCATGGAGCGAGACGCAAATACGAGTCAGTGATCATGTTACTATCTTCCTCTCTGGCATTTAATCTTATACTACGCTTCAGGTTTGATTTTCTGTCGAGTTTTCTTGAATCGCCAAAGCGCCGTTGCCCACCAATTGGTCTTCCAGGCTATAGACAATATAGTATATCAAGACACGGGACGTCGCCTTAGATGGCGACATTTACATGCTCAGACTTTGGACGATTTCGATAATATGGTTTTGGAATGGGCTGCTGACCAGCACCAAGGCCAAGCCAAAGGCTCGTACCCTTGTGAATGCATGTATTCCTTCTATTAACTGGATGCAGGTCTAGGACTATACCTTCAGGCACTAGCAGTGTCCATGCCGCTCAAGGCCGACCTCCACGAACCTCATCGTAGCCTTCAAAGTCTTACGCCTTATGAGCATCTCCATGGCCTTTTTTTCGCCTTTGCTCTAACCACTATCACCACAATATCACCAGCTGTGGTGTTACACAAGAAGTAAAAGGGCTGATGCGCGGTCTCTTGTGTATGACTCATGAGAATTGGGACGGGGCGTTGACAGGGATTCGAGAAAAAGGCGGGAAGGCTGGCAATGGTGCGTGTACGTGTGTTAAATCTATATTTCTGTGCTCAGTTGGTTCCAGATTGGTTACACGACAAGGAAACCACTCATTTTGTCTTTGAGGCCATCTGCTGGGAGCGCAGCTTCATTCTAGAAGCAATTTGGTGGGCGGGAGACTCGACAACTAATCTTGTAGAGTCTACTCATAGGGATGCTAACCGTGAAGGGGTTCATTGTACTTTGCTCGGAGGCCTTCAGAAGGGCCAGGCATTCAACGCCCTCAAATTGTGCACCTTAGAGGTTTGATGACTCCCGACTTCATGTATACCGTAGCTCAGCAGGTCTTTGAAACGTACGGTATACAACCCACGTACAACTCAGGCCACATATCTGAGAATGCATTCACGAACCTTAGACACCGAGGTATGGGTTTCCTATCAATTGGTCGGATTACGGCTCTCAATCACAATAGATAATGCCC